GTCCAGCAGGGCCAACCGGTCCCTGAGAGCCGTTGAAACCGGGAAGACCGATTGGGCCCTGTAGCTTTCTTACGTTGTTTACCTGGAAGAGAGATGGTTACAACATGTAATGGGCCTGTAGTCAGTAATACCTCAGGGCTAAGTTGTTCTCAGGAAAGACAACGGTATTCACCGCCAGGTAAATCACTGTGCAGTAGATAATTGTTGATAAAACAAATTACGCTATCCGGCATTGGATAGTAAATCATCTATTGGATAGTGTTATCCGCTCTTCGAACAACTGGGCCCAGCTGTTTGTATAGACTGAAGGATGATTACTTCAATTTGATGTTACTTTTGTGGAAAGTTTCCTGTTGATTTCCTCTCAAACAACCCTCAGATCGTTGTCTTCTTGATCGAGTCTGTTCGTTGCAAAAATAACAAAAGGCAATTTTCAAATTGTTATCATTAACTTACAAAAACCTCTGTCGTATCTCACCAAGGCTAAACATTCACATAATTTCTTCCCACATCCCGTACTATAATTATGATAGACCTCTTACTTGCTATAACCTGGTCGGCCAAACACCACCTGGGGCCCTGGACCGAACTTTCATGGCTGAGCTAAGTAAGGCGAAAAATTACATGAAGCGAGGCACAACATGCTACGAAAAATAGAGCTAAATGGATTGTTATTACCTTATCCCCTTACTAACTTTCTTTAACTTTTCTTCGAAGAAAAGTTTCTGTTAAAAATGTACTATAGTGTTTTACTCGAACACAACAAGGTTATAGCTGTTAGCAGTCTTATTGTACTGTGATTAGAATAAATCGGCCGATCAGGAGTTTGAACATATCCTCTTATTGTGTTCTTCACGCATGAAAATTGAATTATGCAATATTTTGAGTGTTATTCTGAAGCAACGTTTGAAAGGTCTACCCTATTTGTCATCTAACTTGGTAAAAGTGCTACACAGTCGAACCTCCTCTAACGGCCTCCTCGCTGCAACGGCCACTTTTCTCTGTTCCAAAGGTGGCCTTTGTAAAGATATTCAACTGTATTAATCTTAAATGGGGGGTCGTGGAATCCATAAATTGAAATTCGTTAATGTTAGTAAGCAAGCAAGTAAGTGGGCGAGCGGGTGAGCGAGGGAGCGAGTGGGCAAGAAAGTAATCGAGCAAACAAGCAAGGAATTAAACAAGAAAGCCAGAAGCAAGCAAGGAGACAGACAAGCAGGTGAGGACGCAAGCAAAGAAACGACTAGGAAGCAAGCAAGCAATAAGCATGCATGCAAGCAAGCAAGCAAGCAGGGAAGCAAGGAGGTAAGCCATCGGGCAAACTATTGACAAGTTGGCAAGTAATAAGCAAGTATGCAAGGAAGCAGCTAAGCAATTAGTGAGTAAAATTTCTTTTAAAAGCCCAACTGGGTTGTAGCTCTCGTGTGTCCCTACGAGCGGGCGAGCGGGCAAGAAAGTAAGCAAGCAAACAAGCAAGCAAGCAAACAAGAAAGCAAGAAACAAGCAAGGAGACAAGCAAGCAAACAAGAAAGCAAACAAGCAGGTGACGACGCAAGTAAGAAAACAAGCAAGCAAGCAAGCAAGCTAGCAAACAAGCGCGTAAGCCATCGGGCAAGTTATTGACAAGTAGGTAAGTAATAAGCAAGTATGCAAGGAAGGAACTAAGAAACTAGTCAGTAAATTTTTTTTTGCAAAGTCCAACTGGGTTATAGCTGTCGTGTGTCCGTGGTATGAAGAGGCTAGGAGTATTGCTACCTTTCCACCTACTCATTCTTGTATGTTCATCGCAGGTTGCTTCCCAGCATTCTTTGAGGCTACGCAACAATAATCAGTACTCATTTATAGTCCGAACGTAATGTACCTTAAAGTAAAAACATAGCACAATGACCCCAGCGAGGTCCAGCGCACTAGCTCTTAGGCCATTAGGCCTCCCAAAAAGATGTGTTCCTTCAATGCCCTTTTTGAGCGACACTCAATCAGATACAGCTGCAAGTACATTTCGATGAAGA